AGACAGGACAGGCTTTGCTTAATAAAAGCCCCATTGCTGCTGAGGCAGAGGGAGCAGAGGGCTAACTGGGCCTTAATTTCACTCTTAAAAAGTACATTTTAAGCCGAGCTCCCTAAGGAGGCCCAAGTGATTTCACTCAAATATCACTGATTTCATGAACAGCTCAGTGAACACTTCCGTCTGGATAGACAGCCTTCCTCTAACACCTCCTCTGGTGCTTCCTCTTCTCACTTTGAAGTGAGCCATATCGACGTCTGTGAAGAGTCACAGACAGGCAGACTGTCTCTTTCTTTCGTGATCTAGTTTACTCTCCTCAACATAATATTGTCTGCTCCTGAGAGCCTTCTGTGGAAAGAGAGGAAAGAGACGCACGGGGAAACTGCTCACAGAAGCTTTGTTGTTCTGGGTTGGGTCCGAGGGGCTACACTCCCCAGCACTCTGGGTGGGCTTGTTTTATCCACAGGGCGGATCTAGATACATTTTCTTAGGATAGCATGGAAATCAAACAGAGTGGCAAAATCAAAGCCATTTTTTCACACACATGCAGGTGTTACATTCTGTAATATGAATTATATATGGTAAAAAAAACCCCATCAAATACAGTAGGAATACACATTTCATATAAATATAGCCTGTAACTTTCTTATTTTCTTTAACCCACATAATTAAACATTTTAGTTACATAAAACATGTGGATTTTGATTTTATGTACTGTATAGCCTATATAATATATAATAAATAAGTACGTAGTCCAATAAGTGTAAAATCTAGAGAGCTACACAACATGGGGTAGTTCATTTCCAAACCCAAGTCTGACTTCAGTCTCAGACTCTGAGCTGTCTGAACTGCACTGTTACCTTTTTTCCACCAAAAATTGAAACTTAGCCTTTCATGATTTATCGGGTTAACCCTCTGGGGTCCAGGACACATTGGTCATTTTTGACTACTTTTTATTTTATCTTGTTTGGTATCATACTCTTCAGCACTATCACACGTCTGAATTGACAGTTATTTTTTCTGAACACCACACAAAACTGAGTAGGAAAAAGTTATAGTTTTAACTGTAAAAACCACAAACATGTTTAGTGAATGATTTTCTTAACTTGAAATGCAAAAAATAGATTCTAAATTTTAAAAACGCATGCACTAATTTTGTAAACAATAAAGTTATATACAAATATTACCTAAAATAATTTCAGCTACTGCATCTGGCATTGTTGTACAACCATTTAAAAATTCTACTAAGACGAAAATTAGAGAACAATAAGATGCCACACAAATCGGCCTGGCTAAGTCTCCATGTGATACTATGTAATATACTTAGTTTAAGAATTTATAGGCAATGATTATTGTAGCTGGGCTCAAAGTGTTAATGCTAGCTTATTTTAATAAACAGCACTGTGATATGCAAAACTGGGGTTGCAAGAGATCATTTTAGGGTGGCACATGCCATCCCTGTAGATCTGCCCCTGTTTATCCAGACTGTTTGAGACAGCAAGCTGATGACATTCACCTTTGATTTTTACCTGTTTAATCGCATCTTCCACTTTCCTCATGCTGCTCGTACTTTTAGCGTACAGCAATGTAGAGTAGAGAGGGGGGTAAGGTTTGCGTGCATTTCCCCCCTTTTAAATGATGTGTAGCAGTAAACAGTAGATCTTTAATACAGATGTGCAGAGCTGACTGGGTTTGATTTATCAAAACAGTCCTGAGAGGACAGAAATGCTACAGGATAAAATTAAGACGAAAAACAAATCGATAAAATAAAAAGTATATAGAGGTTTTTTAAAAAAAGTAATCCAAGTCACATGTATATATCCTTTAAATAAAAAAGGCAAATCAAAAAATTACAGAACAGTACAAGACTGGAAAATAATTACTTTAGACTTTATGAAAACAAATAAGGAATAAAATGCAGGAAATTTAAAGGGTGGGTTATTTCGTGAGAAATTAGCTTTCTTTGATGCTGAAATAGAGTTGTCTTCCTGTCAATAAAACAAGAATATTTTTAGATGCATAAAAATCTGTATTGGTTATGACAAAATAAGAGCTCTGAGCCGTCGCACTCTGTTTTTAATAACGAGATGAGAAAGCAGATGCTGCCCTCTGCAGGCAGCTTAGAGCTTCAGCAGTAAGTTCAAACTAAGCAAGGCACAAAGTCTGGAGCCATTCCTCATTTCTTTGTTTTTTTTTATAGAAAAATAGGAAATAGGTGCAGCGTTTTATTAAACATTGTAAACATATATTGGAACAAATAGCACAAAAAAACCAAAAGAAAGCAAAAAAAAAAACAACTTGTTTTCAGTTCTGCATCTGAATGAATTCAAAGCCAGTATTTGGCTGTTGACCTGTTTATTCTTCAGAACACCCTGAAGCCCTTTGGGCAGGCTGGCATGTTTTTATGTGGTCCTCATGACGAGTTCTCCAGCCTTCTCAAAGGACATGCAAAGCTCTTCTTTGCCTTTTGTTCTTTTCTCTGCCAAGATGATCCAGCACCGCTTCAACAGTGTTGATATCCAGGCTATAGGGAAGCCAGTCCATGACGGATAGTGTTCTATTGTGCGTTTATTGTGTCCAGGTATGGTTTAACTGTATTGGCAGTGTTAGGGATCATTGTCATGCTGAAAAATGAAGCTGTTGCCAATCAGATGTTTTCCACAAGGTGGATCAAAATCAGATTTTTCTGCGTTCATAATTTCATCAAGATCCCCAACGCCATTGGCTGTAATTTAGCCAAAGGCCATGGAAGAGCTTCCACCCTTGCTTTACTGATTGTTGTACCACTTTCCTGAACCCCTCCATACATATTCATGACAATCTTAGTCACAAATGTCAGTTACTCCCAAAGAACGGATGTGCAAGATGGCATACCTTGGCCTTTCCTTCCTGAAAACAGCTTCTTGGCAGCCACTCTTCCCCTGAGACCATTACTGATGAGGCTTCAGTGAACAGTAGATGAAAGAATTGACGTTCCTGTGTCAGGTTCTTGCTGGATATTTTCCTATTTCTTAAGGTCATGACGTTCAGGTACTGTTCATCTTTTGCAGTTAGTGTTTTCAGGCCTGCCACTTCTCATCTTACACTTGTCCAGTTTCCTCATATTTTAATAACACACTACACACATGCTAAGTGTTCAGCTAATAGCTCTTTGGGAATTGCTTTGTTGGTGTAAAAATATTGTTTTATGACTATTAGACTTTGGTTATTGTTGGTATTTATTGCTTGAATGATTCTGAAGTGAGTGTCAAAGGAACTTTAAAAAAATCCTCTAAAAACCACCAAGAACAGAACTGAAAATGAATGGAAAATTCAGACAATGTATAAAGGAAACTGATGAAAGATCCTCAGAAAGCCTGCTATTGCTAAGCACTTTAAAAGTTTACAGGAAAGACTTTTGTGATGTTCCGTGTCCCAGTAACTAGTCTTGGTAGTCGGAGATTGACCCACCAGGGTCTCGTACCTTGGCAGCCTCCCAGCAGGTTATGGATGGAGAGGCCATGTAGAAAGACTTTGGGACTGCCTCGACGAAATTCTGGCAAACCCTCAGGTGACTCCGGTGGGAAAACCTGTCCTCTACCTGGACTGTGCGGGTGGAGCGCTGCTGATTTCGACTGAGGATATTTGTCAGGCGGTGAAAGGAATACCTCGAGGACCTCCTTAATCAAACTGGCAGATCTACCATAGAGGAAGCAGAGTCTGGGCACGAGGAGAACATCATCATCTATAGAGGAAATCAGACTCCTAAGCCACTTCTGGAATATCTATGCCAGAGTGCTGGAAAGGAGAGTACGTCTGCTAGTCAAACCTGTGATACAGAAGGAATAATGGGGGTTTTGTCCCAGCCACAGAACACTAGACCAGCTCTTTACCCTCTGGAGGATACTTGAGGGTGCATCAGAGTATGGTCAACAAGTCTACACACGTTTTGTGGTCTCTTGGGGTGTCCTGTGCTAGCTTCTTCGGGAGTAAGGGGTGTTATTCTAATAAAACTACTGCAAGAGCTTGGTCCGCATAGCCAACAATAAGATTTCTAGGCAGAACCAAGTGGTGCAAGGCTTCCACTTGGATGGCCTAAGAGTCTCTTCTGCTTTTCGCAGATGATGTGGTTCTGTTGACTTCATCAGGTGGTCACCTCCAGCTCGCACTGTTCCCAGCCGAGTGGGAAGCAGCAGGAATGAGAATCAGCACCTCCAAGTCTGAGGCCATAGTCCTCATGGTATCCAGTGGTCCAGTTGAGGTATGTCCTTACCCTTACCCTGTGGTCCTGAGCTTTGGGCAATGACCGCAAGAACGACACCACGGATACATACGGCGGAAATGATCTTTCTCCAGGGCTAGCCTCTCACGTAGAAATAGGGTGAGAAGTTGGACCATCCAGGAGGGGCACAGAGGAGAGCTGCTCCTCCACATCAACAGTAGCCAGCTGAGGTGGTTCGGGCATTATCCTCCACAGCAAGTCCAATATTTACTGAAGAGTTAAAATCCTGCTCTTGGACTGGTCTGTTACATTTTCAGGGTTTTTTTAAAAAAAAAAAATTATCAATATTGTCGTATCCCAAACAGATTACCAACCTTCAACATTTTACACAGTTACAATAGACGGCTAAATAAATAAAAATAAATAAATCCTGTTGATGTGTTTGACTTTATAATGTCACATATTTGATCAACCGATTTAGCCTTCATATGTCGGGCATTGACCGCAAGAACGAAAGAAATAAAAGCACAAGATGGGATCAGAGTCCACACAGCTGACTGGTAATCGTGTTGCTGAGCTCCAGTTTGCAATTGACTGGTGTGTTTGATTGCAGATTCATTTAAGAGCATCTACTGTGAGCCACAGCGGGTTGTTAATTCGGTCAATCACTGAACAAAATGAGACAGGCACAGCTCGACCGAGTTTACATGTTTACTTAACCATCAGGCGTTTCACGTCAGAGTTAAATGAAAGGAGAAAAATTAAGCTTGCAGCACCATCAAAAACCCAAGAACAACATGGCCCTGGAAAGGCATATTTTATTTCATTTGTCAATATACTTCAGGAAACAATATACAAAGCAATGATGTGGTCACCTTTTACTGAATGTGTGGTGCAGTTCACTTATCAATAGATAGTTATGGTGGGAGAAATAAACAGGCCTTTGCAACTGAGGACCCTGCTCTTCAACAGTGGGAAGCAAACAAACGAGAGGAGAGCAGAGCAGGGGAGGACGGGGACGTGCCAGAAAATCGAGTGTGTGTCACATGCTTGTTGAAGATAATCTTGTTGGGATTAAAAAACAGAAAGTGGGTTCAACAGGTGAATGAGGCTTAAGACTTTCAAACAAGGCACTAGCAAATGAACCAAACCTAACACTCCAAGGAAATAACCAGTGCTCGCTTTAGTTTAACATGTTTATTACAATACATACATTTCACATTTGACCTCTTGTTACCCTGCACTAACTCAAGAGGTGCTCCACATACACACCCACCCGCCTGCCTCTGACCCGCTCGCAGTTGTGATACATGTCCTAACCTTGGGTGCTTTTGGGAAGAGAGAAAAAACCCAAACAAAAAAACAAAACAAGTGTGGATATTGTCATGATTTAGCTCTCATCACAACAACTCTTTATAAATAAACCCCTTTCTTATGTTTACTTAAAACTGCACTGCTATTAGCAACTGTACAAAGGAATGAACCAGTGATGACACCCTGAATGTAAAAAACAGGAACAGAAACAGTGGGAGGGTGCGGGAGAAAAAAAAGGAGGGGTGTGATGTCTCAGGAGGAGGTGAGGCAGGGCAGAGGCCAGGGGAGTGGAGCGGGAATGGTCCAAAGCAGCACGCCATCATGTCTTTTTTTTTTCCCCCATCACTCACTCATCACACCATCAGGCACTGTTTATTTTCAGACTGGGAAATGCAGGGCCACCAGAAAGCTGCAAAACAAATCAGTGAACCACTGGAAGCACAGACCCACACAGAGGGGATGTCTGCCACGCCTAAGTACATGTTACAGTTCACCACGAGAGGGTGGAAGGAAGAGAATCTAGACAGAGTAGATCTGAAGAAAAAAAAAAATTAAAAATTAAAATAAACCCCAAACTACATCGACGACAGTGTGTTATGCTTTATGCTAGGCTTCTGTGTAAATAAATGCCTTCAAACATCCTCCTCTGTTTCCACGCAGGTCACACATGCTCAGTGGTTCAGCGATCTATGAACTGACAAAATGAAGCTGTAAAGTCTGCAGACGAGTTAACATGAAGGAAAAGGCTAGCTAATGAATGTAGCCGCCTAGGCGTTGATTAGTCTGGATGTCAAAAGCTTTGATAGGCATGGCTTTCCATGGCTTCAATCTACAAAACATATTTACAACATAGATAATAACATCTACAAGAAATCTACACCCCCTCCCCGTCCACCCGCCAGCCACGGGTTTTTACAAAACAAAGTCTTGTAAATTGCCCTCCCCCCTTCCCCTCATCCTCCCACAACAGCTCTTCATTTCTCCCTCTTGGATTCCCAGCCCAACGGTCCAAAGCAAACCTGACTACAGCTCCTGTGTGTGTGTGTCTGTGTGTGTGTCTGTGTGTTTAGACTGGGCTCAAGAGGAATTGAAATTGAACAACCCGTTCTCCCTCCAGCTTCCGACTATGTGCAATGGGTCTCCCCACCCCCACCCGTCCCCACTCTTCTCCGACACCTGCTCCGACTTGCAAATCAGAAGTTCTCAGACCATAAAAGAATTCTGATTCTTCAGCTTTTCAAGTTCTTTGATTTGCTGTCTCAGAAACAGTATCCTGTGGGGAAAAGGCAGAGAACAATGAGTTATGTGCAGGTGTGTTTTACATCATTAACAGGGACTCTTCTAAAACACAGACGCTCACCTCTGCTCACGCAATGTTGCTTGTATTTCACAGACTCTGACCAAAGACCGCAGGTTTTTGAGCTCGGTGCAGTTCTCGGACATGCAGATGCTGCCCATGGTGTGAGCTTCTTCACGTAGTCTTGATGCCTGTGAGGGTTAAGATGAAAATCATTTGAATGATGCTTTCATGAAGATGTAGCCAAAACCTGTGGAAATGTTAGTGGTACAGACCTGCTTCTCCGCGTGTTCAGCGGGCCATCCCTGCACGTGTTTGATAAGGTTCTCGTTGAAGTGGGCAGCCAAGGTGGGGGTGAAGGAGCAGGAGGGTCGGGCCGCTGAGGGGGCAGGCGGAGCGGAGGCCGAGTTGGAGGCGTTGCTGCTGCTGGAGGCGACGTGGTTGGGACCTGGGGAGGGACTCCTCTGACTGCTGAAGTGAGCACAGTGTTGGGGAGAATGTGAGCGATGTGCATGAACAAACTGGCCTGTGACAATCATACAGCAGCCCTCTGAGGTAGAATGCTGAACATGATAACGCGAGTTTCACAAGATGTCTCAGTATTATAGTTACAATCGATAGATCAACATAGTATGGTGATCTAGAAGAAAGCTGGCACATTAATGGAACAATATACTGTTTGTGTGTGCAGTGTGAGATTTTCAGCCCTTTGTTTGACACTTGTGAGCAGCATGCAGGCAGCTGACTGATGTCAGGCCAGATCTATCTGGTTCTGCGCTGATTTGCAACAGCCTGATGGTCAGCTGTCCTGGAATGTGATCAAGTGTTTGCAAAGGTCCAAGTACAACAGACGTAATTGTTCTGCTTGGTGTTAATGTGCACTTTAAATATGCAACACAATAAACACAAAGCACACTGACTTGAGCAAGAAACACTGTCAACAGCCTGTAATTTGAACTTGCTAACTCATAATGCTAGTACAGTAGTTCCCAAAGTGTGGGTTGGGGCCTCCTTGGTGGGCCGTGATAAAAAACAGAAGTACAGCCTGAATTCAATCTGACAGATTGGCCAACTCTGTTGTTGTTCATGCTTTTGTTTCATCTCGCTTAGACTATTGTAATTCGTTGTTTACTTGCTTAAGTAATGCCTCCCTGGAACGACTGCAGGGTGTTCAGAATGCTGCTGCCAGGCTTCTGACAAAGCATCACAAATACTCCCATGCCACTCCCCTGCAGATTCAACTGCATTGGCTCCCTGTCAAGTTCAGGGTCCAATTTAAGATCATAATCATGACTTATAGGGCCCTGCACGGTGTAGCTCCAACTTACTTAAGTGATATTATTCTTTCCTATCACCCCAGCAGGTCCCTGAGGTCTTGTGACCAGGGGTTGCTGGCTGTCCCGCATACAAGGTTAAAAACAAAAGGTGACAGAGCGTTTGTATCAGCTCCCAGACTCTGGAACTCGCTCCCTTTGAGTTTGAGATCTGTGGACTCAGTCATGTCTTTTAAAAAGCAGTTAAAAACCTATCTGTTTAAACTCGCTTTTGGTTGATTTTGTTTTGTTTTAGATTTTAATGTCTGTTTTCTGCCTCTGTAAAGCACTTTGTGATTTTATCTTGAAAGGTGCTATATAAATAAAATTTTATTTATTTATTATTTATTTGTTTTAAGTAAAAGAAGCAGCTTGACATGGCATAATAGTAACTCTACCCAAATAGGCATTTAAAGCCACTGCAATTTACTTTGGGTAATTTGTACAAAAATAGCTCTCTAGAGTGATGTGAAGCAGTACTTCTGATGGAGT